AAACAGAGTGTATGAGCCTGGCCGGTGTGACTCAGTGGATTGAGCATTGTCCCATGAACTGAGAGGTCCCGGTTCAATGCTCAGTCTGGGCACAAGCCCAGGTTGCGGGCTCAATCCCCAGTCGAAGGCATGCAGGAGGCAGCTGATCAATGTATATCTCTCTCTTGTAGGGTAGCCTCTAGTCACATTTGATGATTTGATGATTATCTTAATTGACGTCCAAACTTTAGCTCATCAGTCACACGAGGCACCTTTCAAGTGTTTGACAGCGTCTGTGGCTGTTGACTACTGACTGCTCAGTAAAGGCACTGAACGTTCCCATCATCACAGAAGTTTCTGCTGGAAGAGATGCTAGAGAGTGACAGTCTCTGGAAGTCATGACCTTTCTGGGTAGCCCATCATTACATGAATAGGGTTGAAATGTGCCCCAATTGCTTACTTATTGCCTATTGAACCCTGATTTAAAGTGAGTGCCCTAACAATATGGGGTGAAAGGAACTCAAATAAAAGCAGATCTTGGTCCAGCCAGTGTGGCTCAGTGGTTGAGCATCAACCCATGCACCAAGAGGCCGCTGGTTCAATTTCCAGTCAGAACACATGCCCAGATTGTGGGCGCGATCCCCAGTGGGGGGCGTGCAGGAAGCAGCCAATGTTGTTCTCTCTCATTAATGTTTCTATCTCTCTCTCCCTCACACTTCTTCTCTCTCTAAGATCAATAAAAGAAAAAAAATTTATTTAATAAAAAAGCAGATCTTGTAGCCAAAGATCTTTCTCTAGTTTTGTCACCTTTATTCACAGACTGTCACAAAGGAAAAGAAACAGGAAACAGCAGAGTGTTCTCTCAGTGACGTGATAAACTTCCAAGAGAAAAAGAACAGATGGAAAATGATGACACTCATGATGTCTTAAAAGAGTGGTACTCTTCTTTCTTCCTAAAAAAAAAATATATGTTTTTATTGATTTTTTAGAGAGAGAGGAAGGGAAAGATAGATAGAAACATTGATGTGAGAGATACACATCAATCGGCTGCCTCCTGCATGCCTTCGACAGGGGATCGAGCCCGAAACCTGGGCATGTGCCCTGACCAGGAATCAAACCAGGACCTTTCAGTCCATGGAGGATGCTCAGTCCACTGAGCCACACTGGCTGGGCAGAGTGGTACTTTTCTGTTGTGAGGTATATAGTCTAGTGACTTTTGGTTGTGAATACTATCTTACACTTACCTCCAAAGAAGAAATAATGAAGGCTACACTAGAAAACAGTGAGGAACTACATCTCGTTAGATAACGTGTAACTTAGTCTCATGGTAGTGTTTTTTTAATTGGAATAAAGAGGAATAGAATTATAGACATTCTGATGAACAGCACAGACACCATGAAGTTTGTCTTATAGTTTGCCATTTCAAAGTACATAGATTTTTAACATTGAGTTTTCTCTTTGAGGTTATTCCTAAAAATAATCATTTAAAAATAATTTTAAAAATAAAATATAAAAATAGTTTGCAGTAAATTTTAAACATTGCATTTTAGTTAAATTAAAAATAGTCAAATTCTCTGTCTTTAAAACTGCTTTCATCCACTCACAGAAAGTTAGAGCTGGAAGAAACCGACTTTACTTAGTCCCAGCTAGAGCTACTTTCCTTAGTTTTTTCCCAACTATTTTTAGATATAGAACCATTTGTTTTAAAAAATGTCACCTAGAATCGGGGCAGAGAGGGAGAGTAAGCACACACACACGTGTACACACACACAGCTGTAGTGTTGGGTAGCATGGATGGTGGGGGGCCCAGGTCCCCTACCCCCACCGACCACTATAGCTGCCTTTAAGTGACCCTGCAGGACATGGGTTGTAAACCACTGATTTCATCCAGCCTCAGTTTTAGAGATGAAGTCACGGAGATCCAGAGATTTAGGTAACATGCCCTAGCCCTCAACTAGGTGGAGAACAGGTCATTCCAACCCAAGTTTCTTCCAGAGGTCTTTTCAGAATAGCATAAATTAATACATGCCTGCTGTGCCCTGAGGCACAGCCGAGGGTCCAAACTAAAGCAGCCCGAGTGGGCGGAATACATTGCTTCCTGAGATCGAGCAGATTGGCCTGAGAAATGAAGGCAATTTGTAAGCTCAATGAAGGAAACCCAAAGTGATACAGCAATGCATGTTCTAAAGGTCGGACAGAAAGGTTAATTCTGCTTCACCAAAAAGGAACAATCTCGAAGACTAATTACGAACATTTATAATAGATTCTCTGCCCAGTCACTCCTGCAAAGACAACTTGATAAAGTGCAAGACCCGTGGGTCTTAGAAAACATGGATTAATATGAATCCTGCTCCTAATACTAGCTTTGTTCATCTATGAAACAGGAGTAACGTTTGGTAACAAGGTAGTTGTCCGTATTCAATTATTAATTGAATATATATATAATGTGCCTAGAACAATAGATACTGGTTTCCTTCCACTTTCTTAACAACTTTGTCACAGCATAACATATAACTGTTTTTCTAACAATTACATAGAGAAAATTGTTTTCCTAGTATGTTTCCACAAAGGATGTACTACCATGAGACTAAGTTACACGTTATCTAACGAGATGTAGTTCCTCATTGTTTTCTAGTGTAGCCTTCATTATTTCACAGGTGGAAAAACAAGCCCCATGATGGAATAGAGGAGACAAAAATGGAACGGCTTCCAGAGCTGTTGTTCCTTTACTTCTTTTCTTTAGTAATTTACCCAAACATTCAGAACTGTTCGAGGTAACCAAATCCCACAAACCAGATCCAACAAGGCCAGGAAAAGGAAACACACACACACACACACTCCATAAAAGCCCTTATCCTTTTTCATAGTCTTTTTTTTTTTCTTTCATTGTTACAGTTGTCAGTACTGACGAACCAAAATCCAAAGAAAAAGTATCTGTAAGGGTTTTCATTTACCCTTGCTAGTTAGGTGCTCGTTTAGATGCACAACAGGACCCACTGGCATCCTTCTCATTTGATCCAACAGTGATAGTTCCATAGAGCTGCCCTTACTGTACCAATTCACCATGTAAGAAAAAAATAAAATAAACCAACTTTGTTATTTATTAAAATTTACTTTATCAGCTTTCAGAGTCACTTATGAAAACGTTATACTACACAAGTACAACTTCACAATTGGAATGCACCAGAAGCCAATGACTCTTATATTAGAGAGTTAAACTTAATTCTGCAAATCAAGACTATCAGCGTTTCATTTCCATTTAAGGTAATGACTGCGAAGTGAAAATATAGTACAAGTCCCAAAGGGATTTGGTCTATGTTTAGTCATTCAGAGAATACATAATGACTAAAATCGACTATGTTTCAGAAGATGACAAAAGCGTATTTGAATAATAGGCTAATATCAATAATAAATGATAATAGAGTCTGTAAGTTTCAAAGAACTTCATGAATGTTTAAAATGCGTATTAATTCATTCTAGACCCATCAGCTTTTCTATTACTCTATTTTTTACAAAGAAAAAAAACCTTCATATGATCTGCTCAATGTCACATAAATCAATATTCTCCAGGTGAAGAGATTTATTTACATATCACAGAATCACATTTTTAAAAACAGAAATGGGAAGAAAACATTCAGTTTTTTTGTTTGTTTATTTAATGTCTGGAAGGCATCAGATAATAAGTGAAAGAAGAGAGTCAGTATATATTTTGAGGGGGAAAAATCACATTAGGAGTTAAAAATCATTCTGGCTAGGAAAGAATGTCAAGAATCTGCATGTCATACCTTTTTTTTATGCCTTTCATTTTAGGACTAAATCCTTGAATAGGGTGGGGAAAGAATGCACCAAAGAGCCTTATTTATATATCCTTATAGAGTTTAGTTTTAGATGGTAGTTTCATTATATGACTTATACCCTAGAAAGATGAGGCATTATTTGAAAAACAGATTATTTATTGTCACAAAAGTGAGAGACCTAATAAACACACATAAAAAATGCCCAGCATACTGAAAGCCGAACCCAAGAGTAAGATCCTCTTTTCTGCCCATTCTTTTTCTTTTTTTATTAACGTTTAGAAAAAAAAGAAATGTATATATATTTTAAAACCACCAGAGAGAACTGTGGCTAACATTTTGATGTTTCTAACTCTGGCCTTTGCACTAATTATATTTTACCAAAATCATAATCTTCTTGCATTTACATTTTATATCCTGACTTGTTTCACCTAACATTTTAACATTACCAGTTATGAATTTCATTCACTATATCAAAGAGGTATACAGATTTGAAGTGTTATCTTGATTTTTCTCTGAATTTTAGAAATAATTTAGAAAAATGCTAATTTTGAGGGATAAAACAAATTTCAAAAGTATAAAAAAGAAAAAAGCACATCCTTCTATAACACTTTTGATTCCATCCTTAACCCTAAAAACCAGCCACTTTTAACAGTTTACTGGATATTTTTCCTGCCTTGTTTCTGTAGTACATAAACCACAAAAATTTGTATTTTTACTCTCTCGGTAATGAACATTTAAGGGGTTTCAGTTTTTCACTACATGGATAATATAATGAACATTTTTGCATATTAATATTCAAAGTAATAACATTGAAAGTATTTCAAGATACAAAAATTAAACATTTCTCTTGTTTTCCATAATCAGTAACAAAAATACAGACATTGCTTTATTTGTGAATTCCAAGTTGTGCCAATGTTTTATTATTGTTATATTTATCCAAAAGCTACCATTGTGGGCAATTGTAGTAGGAAGTTCAAATCTTGCAGAAGTCCTCTGGGTGGATGGACGCAGAGTGAATATTTAGTCATTATTTCAGAGTTTTACCACCCTAAATCCACCATGCCAATCAAGCACATTTCAAAAAATAACCAAATTGATATTAAGAAGTATTAGAGAAATGTACCTAACATACCAAATTACCAAATTCCTGGAAATTGTGAAGTTTAATTGTCACAATAGTGTCTGGGACCCACAAGGACAAGCACACCAACACAGGACACTTACATGATCTTCTAATTACAAGTCCAAATTCATATTGTATGTACATCCTCTCTCCAGAATGATCACCAGGCAATCAGGGACGTTTTTGGCAAAAGCTCAGAGTTGCATCTATCTGTACACATATGACGGTGTCTGAAGTTTCACATTTCACAAAAAAAAGTTATGCTGCAAAATAAATAAATAAATAAATAATTTAAGCACAATACAAAATGCATTTGTTTAATTTGTCTCGAGTAATTTATTTCAGTACATGCAGGATTCTAGGATCATCTTACAACTGATAAAAGTTGACAGTAACTTCATGTGAACATGATTTTTAAATGCATTTTTAGCTCCTGAAACAGTAACATGAATTAGTCTCAAGTGATATGTGAAGTCTCTTAAGAAAAGAAAAAAAAAAAATTTGCCTATGAGAAGATTAAATATCAACATCTGAAAAACCACTTAGCAGGGGACTCCGGAGAGTCCCAGTTGCAACAGGTCATGGTCTGGGAAGGCAGAACTTCCCAAGTAACACACTCCCTTTTCCCTTAGTCAAAGGTCAAGTGCAAATTGTGACTAAAAGTACCAAACCTTAGACACCAATTCCAAAGTGAAATATAACAGTATAATGCAACGTTTCCAAAGGAAGATTCCAGGAAGACTTCCCTAACATTCTTACAACCGTTTACCCACGTGGAAGGTAAAAACAGTTGGCAATTATTGAAGATGAAGGTTTTTGGAGAAAGTTGCCAGCATGCTTCTCCCCAGAAGATCTGTGGGGCTCTCTGCTGCTCACCGCAAGCACAGGTTAAGTCCTTCAGACATTCTGATACCCCCCCCCCCCCCGAGATATTTCTAGTTCCCACCTGGCACTATGGTAGTTATTACAATATTATTGACTATATTCCCTGTGATGTACTTTACATCTACGTAAAAATTTTGTGACTATCAATTTGTACTTCTTAATTTCTTCACCTTTTTCACCTAGGCCCCCAAATCCCCTTTCATCTGGTGACCCTCAGTCTATTCTCTGTACCTATGAGTCTGTTTCTGTTTTGTTTGTTCATTTATTTTGTTCTTGAGATTCCACATATAAGTGAATCATATGGGATTTGTCTTTCTCTGTCTGACTTATTTTACTTTGCATAATACCCTCTAGAGCAGCTGTTCTCAACCTGTGGGTCGCGACCCCTTTGGAGGTTGAACGACCCTTTCACAGGGGTCGCCTAAGACATAACAGTAGCAAAATTACAGTTATGAAGTAGAAACGAAAATAATTTTATGGTTGGGGGTCACCATAACATGAGGAACTGTATTCAAGGGTCGCGGCATTAGGAAGGTTGAGAACCACTGCTCTAGAGGGTACCCTCTGAGTTTTAGAATGTAAAGTATTTCCCTTGGACCAGATCTAAGCCACGCAAGAGAGAGCCAGCTGTCTCAGATTCTGTTCAAGAATCTCCCTCTGGAAAGAAGATAGCAGAGCAAACAGAAGCAAGGAGTGTACTTCTGAAAAACTCCTAGGTGCCACGGAAGCTGAAATAAAAATGCACTTCTTGCCCGGCAGTGTGGCTCAGTAGTTGAGCATCGACCCCTGCACGAGGTTGCCAGTTCGATTCCTGGTCAGGGCACATGCCCAAGTTGTGGGTCTGATCTCCAGCTGGGGGCATGCAGGAGGCAGCCAATGGATGTTCTCTCTCTTTGATGTTTCTATCTCTCTCTCTCCCTCTCCCTTCTTCTCTGTTTAAAAATCAATAAAGAAAAAAAAAATGTTGTTAAAAAAAATGCACTTTGGTGTGTCAAGGGAGCTTTGGGAGAGACATCCCAATGATGAGAAGTCTCCAAAGAAGCACCTGCTGGAAAATAGTCTATTTTAAGTGCATGCCGAAACCAGAGGTATAAACAAATCCTAGATAATTCACAGTACTTGCCAAGTAAGAACTTTATCTCCCTCACCCACTTCTGTCTATGAGCTCTAACTCTTAGCAAGATGGGGAGCGAGTAGGGGAGGGAAGGAAGAGAAGAGAAATCCATTACTCCCATTTTCTATGGCTCCTTGCCTCCAACATCCAAGGTAGGGGAAGGAAGACATAACTTTAAAGCAAAATTGTAATTATCATACAAACATGCAGATTATGAAGAGCATGATTAATTTCCTCAATTTAAAGTGATCAAAGAATTGTTTGATTTTTAATAAGAGTGACCAGAAAAGTCATGGAAATGCCTTGAATTTGCATTTGCGAAATGATCACACCATTTTATCAGCTGCCCCTTTCTTTTATTCTCCCCTGCCCTTGACTTTCAGACACAGGCTTTCATCCTCCTCTTCATGCTAGAGTTTAATAATAACGCTGGCATTACTGAGCACTTACACTGTGCTAGGCACTCTCCTATGTATTTTATTCACATTTGTCATTCGTCTTCATGCAACTCTGTAATATCATCACCCCCATTTGACATATGAGAAAACTGAGGTTTCTCTCTGTGGTTGTGCTGTTACTAAGCAGAGGATCTGGGAATTTACCCGGGTAGTCTGACAACAGAGTCTGTTATCTTTCCACAAAAGAGTGAGTGAAATGTAGGCTCTCAGTTCAAAGGATAAAAAATACCAGGCTTGCTTTCTTTAATAAAACAGATGTGGATCTCCCCCATTTCATGAGAAAATGGAAACATTCCACTGAAGGAGAATGAGTAGAAAGGTAAACAGAGCTACTTTTTGTAATCATACAACCTGCTGACGTCCACACTTATTCAAGCTCCTGGATGATGTCACTATGTCATCACAAAGCCTCTTCAGCCCAGACATCACATAACAACAGCATCTAAAATGTGTAGTGTTTGACCGTATAAAACTGCAATTTCATATTCTAATCCGAATAAAATTGGATGATTCTCTGAGTGGGCATCATTCATACTATGTTTTTGATAGGAAAACTAAGATTAAAAGCTTTTAAAACCTGTGTTTTGCTAGCACCACAAACTGATCCATGACAAGGCCAGAACTAAAAGGGGCAGATATAAAAGAGAAGTTGAAATATCAACCCATTTGCTATCAACTTCAAAACCTCTCTTTACCATCAATATTTATATTAATCATTCTTGATCCTGATGCTATACATTTTCCACACTCAGAATGCCTCACAGATCCTCAAACATATATTGAATCGCTCACTTTATTCCAAAGAGATGATTCATGGAGTGTAACAGTGCATATGGTTTTCAGGTGCAGGGACTGGGGTTTCAAGAGGCAAACAAGTTGGGCCTGGCCGGTGTGCTCAGTGGTTGAACGTCGACCCACGCACCAAGAGGTCACCAGTTCAATTCCCGACCAGGGCACATGCCCAGGTTGTGGGCTCGATTCCCAATGGGGGGCATGCAGGAGGTGGCCAATCGATGCTCTCTCTCATCAGTGTTTCTCTCTCTCACTCCCTCTCCCTCTAAAATCAATAAAGAAAAAAAAAAAGCAAATAAGTTGGATTAATCAATGCAACACAAGAATCACAGAATTTTACAAACCTGAGTTGAATTTATGTTTTAGTAAGAAAAGACATGCCTTTTCTCACTAGAGAGATGATTTTGGAATTTCAGAACCGTGCCAATATATTTCACCGTAACCTCATCATCTGGATCACTCTTCTCTGAGGAAGCAAAGGCTCATGCAAGCAATTAGTTCTGCTGATTAAGTTCCCGGCTTCTTCTTTGTTCATTCTGGAATTCCAAGAGGTAAAATGGTTTCTCTCTCTGTTCTTCCTTTCCTCATAAGCAGACTCATCAATGCGCCCACTCTCCAACCCATGCATTTTTTCATATTCTCCGTGGCCACAAGTACTAACAGTTCACTAGAACAATGATTCTCAGACTTTGGTATTTCTCAGAATCATCTGGAAGTCTTATTAAAACACAGATTGCTGGGCACCACCCCAGAGTTTCTGATTCGATCAGTCTGGAGTGGGGGAAGATAGTCGGCATTTCTAACAAATTTCCAGGTGATACTGATGCTGCTGCTGGTCTGGGGCCCACGCTTTGGGAACCCCAGGGCGAGTACCTCTCCCACATGTTCCCTTAGAGGGCCCCCACTGAAAGTTCAGAGCTAAGGTTCATGATCACACAAATGGTGCCCAGTGCCTTGGCCTCACACTGAAGGCTTCTATCTGGAGGGGAAAAGAATAATGGTCATGACTCACTGTCTTTTCAAGCTTTGCCAGCTGCAAAATTAAAAACAGAAAAGAGCTACACTGAAAGCGAAATGAAAACAACTAAAGTAACACTGTCTACATTTTGCGACTCAAGGCGTGATTGCTGGAGTTAGGACAAAAGACATAGTAACAGGTAACTGCAGGCTCAGCGCACCAAGAGCAGGCACCGGGAGGCTGACAGAGAGACCAGAGCGCCTGTCCCAACGCCAGCAGCCAGCCAGGCACGTGGCTCCCCATCTTCTTTAACTGTCAACGATCAGCTCTTCCACAGAGTTCTCCAAACACAGATCGACCTATACCTCTTGGATTAACTAACTTCTTCCACAACTTCTCTACTGTTTTTCAACATAGGAAAAAAAAAAATCAATTGTCAATAGGCTGATACTGTCGGAACATCAAGCAGACAGAAAGAAAATCTGAAGCAAGAAACTGGCAACGGCGTTTCCTTCAAGCTCCTTTATTTTATTTTATTTTATTTTATCCTCACCGGAGGACATTTTTCCATTTTTTGTTCAGGTAGAGTGGGAGGGAGAGAGAGGAACAGAGAGAGAGAGAGAAACATCGATGTGAAGGGACACATCGAGTGGTTGCCACCCGCACGACCGACCAGGGCCGGGGACAAACTGCAACCGAGGTACGCGCCCTTAGCGGGAACCGAACCCGGGTCTCTCAGGACCGCAGGTCGACGCTCTAACCGCTGAGCCAAACCGGCCAGGGCCAAGCTCCTTTATTTTTATAACGATCGTCTCTAGACAACTCTCAGGGGAGACTTTAATTCCATTTTTCATCTCTTTGAAAAAATAAGGCATTTTATGTAATGGTATAAAGTTCTCAGTATTCTAGCTTATCAAAAGTGTGACTAGTATTTTAAATACCACATGAAATAACAAAATGCAACTGCAAGAAATAGTATTAAAGGTATAACATTTCTGCTTAGAAAATAAGCTGTTAGTTCTAACCTTTACTTAATATAGCAATATTTTGCAGAAACCACTGACCTTTTATTCTGATCACCATGGGTCCATTAACTTTCAAAATACGGGCCAGCCAGTGAATAACATGCTACTAAGTAATACACCTAGGCCATCCAAATGTACTTTTTTTCTGTCCCAGTCCAAAGAAAAAGAGATTCATAATGATAAGGTCCCTGAATGCACCAGTTTTGAGAGAAGTCACTTCGTATGAGTATGAGTCACCAAAACTACTTCCTTAGTGATAAACGTTGCCTAAGTAACCTAGATGCCTGACTATTAAGTACATGGGCAGTGTGCTGGGTTTCAAACCCACTAGTCATTTCCGTTACTTAATTGCTAACTTCTCTTCCCCAGTGCAGTTTGGGGCCTGTATTTTATGTAGTAACCCAGCAACTAGTCATTATGCTATGTTTTATCAAGGACAACAAAACAGGAACGTTTACATTTCCATGGAATCCAGAGAAAAAGTGGATGTTATTTCATTCTAACTTTAAAAAGGAATGATTGTTCAACTAGGTCTCCATGGCAAAAGGATCGTGTAAGACTTGGAGATAAAATGACTTCACAGAGAAGAGAGAAATAGACCAGATTCCCTCTGAGTCAAAGGAAGGTGCTAGATTCATTTCTGAGTCCTTAGCACCGAGCAGAGAGCTGGGCTGTGTACACAGTAGGACTCAAAATACATCGACTGAAGGGGGTCATTGCTTCTCTTCAGAATAAGCCAGTCTGTTAAGGAATTGTGCCACTACTGTACTGAGTTAGAATTCCATCGGCTGGTTGGCACTTGCATGCATTCTTTTACTTAGATCTACAAAAGACTGTCTGTCATATTCGTTGCTCTTGCCCTTGTGCACCTGTGAAGTACTTTGTTTTTTCCTTTTAATCCTCGAGGATATGTTCCTATTGATTTCAGAGAGAGAGGAATGGAGAGGAAGAAACATCGATATGAGAGAGAAACACTGATCAGTTGTCTTCTGGAGGCACCCCGATTGGGGATCAAACCTGCAACCTGGGTTATATGCCCTGACTGGGATTCAAACCGGCAACCTTCCAGGGTACAAGATGATGCTCCAACCAACTGAGCCACACCAGCCAGGGCACATGTGAAGTATTTTAAAGATGCTCTATTTTAAAACAGAGCTGGTGTTGATGAGCATTTCTTGGGGAAAAAATCTTATATGCAATGACAATAAAATTAATGTTGTGCAAGAAATGTTAAAAGCTGGGTAGTAAGCTCATATGTGTTATCAGGAATGTTGCTTTAGTTTGGCCTTGAGAATGTTGGCTGTCCTGTACTTCACTGACCCTCTCATTTCACACCACTCATGATTCTTGGACTGTACACTATTAGGACCCCACGTGTTAATAAATCTCTCTAAAATCCAAACTAATAGAGAGTAAGTATGGGTTAGGGTTAGAGTTAGGGTTATGTGTTCCAAAAATGTGGGCAGTTTATTTATTTTCCACTAGCAAATGTGGTTAAGGACTTTTATTCACTTAATTGAATGCAGGCGTCATATGCCATACATATCAAATCATTCGGGTGAGCTGAGTCAGAATTCAGAAATGAAATCTCCACAGAAAACCCCTAAGACTGTCCATAAATGCCTTGATGATTCATTAAGGACATCATATTCTCTGAATTCAAAAGGATTCTATTGCTGCAACAGAACAGGAAAATATAAGTCCAAAGAGATACTTGGACATGATGATAAGAATGTCAAAGAGACCTGCGCATGTCACCAACAGTAGTACAAAAACACCATGGCATGTGAGGTACCACAGTACAGTGAGGTTTAGAGTGTGGAGCCTAGAACCAGAAGTCCTGGGTTCAAATGCCAGGTCTGCCACTTCCTGGCTGTGTGAGCCTAAGTAAGTTACTACTTTGTGCTTCAGAGAAAGTAACTTACTGTTACTTTCTTCATATGTCCAATGGGCCGGGCTGCTGTGAGCATTACATAAGTTAACACATGGTAAATTAGTTAACACTTGGCATACAATAGGGACTCAGCATATGCAGGCTGTCATGATGATTGCCTTTAGCCCCTATCTGGGCCAGACTCTGATTCTAGTAATGAAATCCCAGCGTGCCTAGTTATCACGGACTGTGAAAACCAACCCAGAGGTAACAAAAGAAAAACTCTCATCTAGACATGCAAATATCTCTGCACTGTATTCTCTTCACATATGTCTAAACTCCTAAAGTTCTAGAGATGGCAGATGGATAAATTACAATATTGTATCAGAACAATTTTTCATAGTTTATGCTATGAAGAAAATGTATTGGATCTGTATTAAGCTTAAGTTCCATGATATTTTTTGCGCCATGCCACGTATCCAGATGAGTCCCATTAGAGGGCAGATTTCCAGTACTTAGCTAATTACCAATACGAAACCTTGTGCAATCTTTTAGAAATCACCACAATAGAATTATCAAGAGGGTTGTCAATCCCTTTATTTGGCTACAGTTTACTCAGAATGGTCTTGCTTTACTCATTTCTTGTAATTTTTAATATATTTTAATTATATGTTGCCTTGCATAGTTTTATCATTATGCCGTCTTATATAATTGTCACAGCAGTATCTGGGATCCACAAGGACACGCACACCAGCCGAGGAGACTTCCTTGATCTTCTAATTATAAGTCCAAATTCTGATTTTACTTACGTACCCCCTCCAGAACTATCACAAGGCAATTAGGGACATTTTTGGCAAAAGCTCAGAGTTGCATATATCTGTACACATAGGTCGATGTCTGAATGTTCACACTTAAAATGTTATGCCTACAATGCAAAAAGTAATAGTTTTCACACAACACAAAATATATTTTATTTAATTTGCCTCAAGACTAGTTTATGTGAATACACATGGGAGTCCAAGATCATCTTACAACTAATAAAAGCTAACACTTTTTTGACTTCATGTGAACATAATTTTAAAATACATTTTAGCTCCCCAAAATTAATCCCGAGTGATATGTCAGTCGCTTAATAAGAACAAAAGCTGCCTATGAGGAAAAGATGAACATCTAAAGAACCACTCACGTTTAAAGCTTTACTTTGTGATTAGCATGGGCTTTCCATCCGACACATGACATCAGGGAGTGTTACTCTGACTTAGGTTTATTGTTTTTCTAAGACTTGGTCTTTTGATTTTCACTTCTAACCTCTACAAATCTTTTTTTTGAATCCTCGCCAGAAGACCTTTTTTTTTTTTTTTGCATTTATCTTTAGATAGAGTGGGAGGGAGAGAAGGAGGAAGAGAGAGAAACATCGATGTGAGAGAAAGAGAGAGACACATCGGCTGGTCGCCACCTACACGACCCCAACCAGGGCCGGGGACAAACTGCAACCGAAGTACATGCCCTTAGCGGGAACCGAACCTGAGCCTCTCTGGTCCACGGGCCTACACTCTAACTGCTGAGCAAAACCGGGCAGGGCTAACCTCTATAAATCTTAATGATCTCTGTCAGTGACCAAAATTTGATGAGGTATATCTTAAACTGTGAATTTATCAAACATATTTAAAAGTAAATTAAATATTTAAGATTCTAAAGAATACCACTTCACTGGTATGCCAGAGCTAAAGCATCCCCAAATTTTTGGAAAGATCAGTCAGTTTATTAACTGGTTTTGAGATAAGTGGGACACTTCTTTCATTTACCCCAAATATACAGGAAAGAGATTTTGGCTCTATAGATAATGACATTTCCTTTCCAACTTCATAGGTTATTATAAACACAAACCTGAAATTATGTTTTAAACTTGTTCAGTTCTTTTAAAGAAAACTGTGCTGTTGAACAGTTATTATCATTGGACCCCTTACCTGAATGTCTCCTGAAGAAAACGTCCACCGCTTGGGAACTAGATGACATCATCAAAATTGGCAGAGTACCTTTCTAGGACGCCAAAGCACTTGGCAAATTTTCTCCAGTGACAGGACCTTCTTCTCTACCCTAAAAAAAAAAAAAAAAAAAAAAAAAAAGGGAAAAACAACATTATGGGCCAGGGATCCTGCATGATTTTTGGTGATAGTTTCACTAAACTGTAACAGTATCAGTTACGTCTCTTTCAGAGGAGATCAGGCCCATTCCGGATGGTATGGCCATAGACTGGTTAGGTCTCTTTCAAATAAGGTCCGGTCTTTATATCTGGGCTGGTTTTGTTTTTTGTTTTGTTTTGTTTTTTGGTACATACTCCTAGCGGGAACTGAACTTGGGACTCTCCGGTCCACAGGCCGATGCTCCAACCACTGAGCCAAACTGGCCAGGGAAGGGCTGGTTTTGTTTTGTGTTTTGGATCAGGTGAACCAACACTGAAAACGAAGCTTCACGCCTTTGTCTAACAGGCATAACTTTCTCACTCGGTTTTCCCTCCACATGTTAATTAACATCTTTTGTCCCTTCTACATACTCACCACCTCCTCTTTCCTTGGTCATAAACTGTGCATTAGACTTTGATGAAATTATAAATTACACATAGTTCTACGGGAAACTATAATCTGTCTCCCCCCACCCCCCAAAAAAAGATTCAAAGAGATTTCTAGAAGTGTATCTTTAAGCTTCTTTTTCTCTGAACCTCAAAAATTGGTTTTAGAGGAAACTGAAGAAGTCCCTGATTTTTCATCAGCTGTGGAGACCAGACCAATGCACTCACATCAGATAAGAAACAACACAAGGTAATCAATATTACCCGTGTCAACAGAGCAGAACTGCTGTGAAGGGTAAAACTGCATGATTCTGCGTAAATCTCACCTCTCCCATAAGTTAGACCTTATATAGACTAGAGAAGGGGAGACACTTCCAGGTTAAGGGGTTTCAGTGAATTATCTTTCATTTCAAATTAATTTGTTTTCTGCATTTATGCTCTCAGTTACTCTGTGCAGAAGGCGCAGAGTCCTGTGACTTGCCTGTCCTCTCTCTAACTTCACAGCCTCTAACAATCATCCCCCTTCATCACCACTCTATCCCCAAGGTCAGACTCCTTTTGCTATTCACCCGATCTGCCGCCAACAGCCCTCAGCTTGGTCTCCCCAGCTCATCCTCCACAGCACGCCAGCGCGATCTCCCAACGTGCAGCTACAAGCATGCCTTTCTCCTACTCCCAAAGGCAGTGAATTCCCACTGCCCACCACGCTAATTATAAACTCCTCTCTCTGGAATTCCCTCCTCCGATGCACGGGCCCATGTTAGCTTTTAGCTCCCTTCCTCCCCTACAATCGCTCCATAATCCAGCCACCCTGAGATTCTTGCCATTCCCCCAATGTCCCCGGAATGCTAACATCTACGCAATCATATAGTCTCACTGCTTTTAAACCTTTCTCTACCGTGGAAGCTGTAACAATCATACCCATTCCCCGGATACCACCTTTACAAACTACGTTTTCTGTTCTCCCTCAGATGGACATGATCATTTCTCCACTGAAACCCTTCAGTACTCTATTCACGCCTCCGTCAGGAATGCACTTGCCCATCCTGATACGTATCACAGCGCTTTGTGTGGGTCCTGGTCCTTTCACAGGGTTAGGAGCTCCCCAGAGGCATCAAACGCTTCTTACTTACCTGAATATGCTAAGAAGCATGGCAGGCAGTGCAGAAAGTGGGGAACACCCACCTGCTGAATGGGATACGAGGAAAGACCTGAGCGTGGGGGAACGTGGTGTATTCGTGGAACAGAGAGCAGCTGAGGGCCCCAGTGCAACTGCTGTCTTGAGGGGAGCAGTGGAAATAGGACGGGTGTGCACACTCAGCACGGCTTTCCCAGGCCCAAGATGAGCTATGCGCTTCAGCCTCCTTTGCAGCAACATTTCCGGTTCCTTCATCATCTGTATTACAAATTGTAATTACTTTGTTCTTTTATTTGAGTACTGTCTCTCTGAGTCACACATATGCACACACAGACTCGACTGGACATTCCAAGAGTGCATGCATT